ATCTCCGTGAATATCTCTGGTGACATTATCTCCGTAGATAGCCGATTCATTGCTGCTCTACGGGCCAATTCATTCCTTTTTCGTCTCTGTTTTGAAAGATAATAGAACAGAAGAGCTTTTTTCCTTCGATCGCCTCCAGCCGCCATGCTTTCTTCACCTCGAGTTTGTTTGATGAGCATGCGCACTTAATATTTCTCAGGTAGCTTCCGCATGGCGAATAGAGCCGAGATTTAATGACTGTACCCCCGCTGGGACGACGCGTGGGGATTCGTGTGAAAGGTGGAGAGACTATTAAAAGATTAGGCGGTTTTTCTTTCATGTACGTCCGCCATATTTAGTTCGTGGATTTGTAGAGCTATGGCTCAACTCGTTGACTGCATTCTCAACGAATTGAGCCAGGCTTTACAAATCCTGAGAATGAATCGACTATCTACGGAGATAATATCACCAGAGGAACGATGACTCTAGCTACAGTGGAGGAACGAGGAAAACACCCCAACGTCATTAACACTGCAAGTAAAATAATTAGAAGAGATCTCCCCCAACTGGATGGTATCATCAAAGACAATGGAGAAAACAACAAAACGAATTATGGGGATCCCACCCATCCAGCAAGCTCTCTTTTTAAATTCTTACCCAGTAATAGTAGACTGTTGACTTTAAAGGACGGTAAACGGTTTTAAGTAGTTTTTTTTCTCTACAGTATTAAATATTAATTCCACTTTTAGGCTTAATTCATAAATATTTTAATGGCCAGTGTTTTAGTTTTTTATATCGGCACATGAATCAATAAGATACCAAACAACTTTCATGGAAAATAAACTGAAATTAAATCTGGAGACTCCTTTATCTATTAGCATTTCGAATTTACGTTACATCTCGGCACGTTCGTCTTCATCACCATCATACTTCCGTCGCAGTCCGAAGCGCGAAATTCAAACAGTGCATATCAAAACCGTAAATAGGAGTCCTTACGTAGGAAACATCGCGCTAGAGGACGGGTTTTATTAAGGCATTCTTGTTAGCGGTATTGTCACTAATTTAGAGAATCGTGAACAAATCTGGATGACTCTATCTATAAAAAAGCAATTGTTACCTAAAAATCATATACAAGAAAAAATAATGAAAAGAACGAAGGCAGAATAATTTTTAAATTAAAAATGGAATCTGAATAACAAATACAACTTCAAGCAAATGAAATTGAATATAGAAAATCAAACTCATGATTTTGACTTATGCATTACATTACAATTTATTTTAAAACAATATCGGTACCTTGTCAGTGCATGGAAGGACTGCGTGAAAACGGCATACACCCTCCCCTACACATACACTAAACACAGAGAGAGAGAGAGAGGGGCGCGATTATGGGAGTGGGGAAGGGAGCCAATTAAATCAAATGCCTTTTCCCCGTTGCCAACGCTCTCAAATCAGGTCTTTTATCCAAAAAATATTTTATTGTATAAAATACAACGTATATAATACCACAGACTTCGGTCGAATGATGTAGCTGTG